GGTGGGAAAAAGTAACACAAAAGGAAAAAAAAACAGAATTAATCATGAAAATTTGTTATGGAAGTCATAATGAAACATAAATATCCTAGGAAGCATTACTTTGGAAGATATCTGAAGAAAATCAAATTCGTATAACGCGGACTTTAACAGCTGGATCACATTAATAATGGTTAACGCTTATTGACCCCATTTAATCAAATAAAATGCATGCTTTAACTAAAGAGTAAAGTAAAATTCTTTTTCTTTTATATAGAATTTAACATTTATAAAGATGATTCATTCAGTTTTTATTCAGAAGATATCGATTTTGAAAAAACAAAAGACCTTTTTCTATATCATTTATTGTGAAAATTGTTTTTCAAGCACCTTGCGATTGCTTAATTGTAACGTCACTAATTGTAATAATGCGTTAAGCAACGAGACATATGAGCATCACGTAATTTTTCATCTTTATCTAAAATAGCATAAAAAAACAACTCTTAGTGTTGTGAAAGACGCGGAACTTTTGCCACCTTATCATAAACCTATCATTGTTTGTGGTAACGTTTGTCTCAAGAATGGCAAACAGTGTGAAATGAATGGTGTGGGCAAAGAGGAATAAAAAGAGAATAAAATATTGCGTGAGTAGAAAAAAAATAACATAAAAGAGATATGAAAAAAATTATGATTAAAAAAAAAACGAAAACATATATATATTTTCACGTCTAATGCAAAATGAAACGAACATGATATGATTAATCAGATGTAACAAGAAATCACGTAAAAAACTTATAACGCATTGCTTCAAAGGTATAACGTAGGAGATTGCATAATTTAACTTTAATAATTAATATACACATAATCATCAACGACGAAAATACTGTATCGAAAAGGAAGAATTTCAAAAACTTCTTTTTGTTATACTGAACAGTTTAAAAGGCTGAGTTGATATTAGTGTGTTTAGATTTCTTTCAGAAACTGTCCATTCAAAACGGAAATCATGTTATGAAAGTTGTGTGCAGTTGAATTTGAAAGTAGGAATTGAAAGCATAATACAGAGTTCCCACTCACCACTAGAACTCCGTGTTGTATGATTACTGGTTGTTTGCTAGTTCTGCTACCGCTGCCCTTACCACCACGACCTTCTGGGATCCTTTGCACACTCAGAATATATCCATCATTTGTTGTAACCTTAAAAACATGTCAACACAAAAATGTTTCATTATTTTATCATATGTTGATGTAATTAATATCTCCGAACACGGTTGCACACCATTTACCTCGTGTTCTTGGCACTCGTATCCATGCACAATGACAGAAGAGGAACATAGACCAGAAACCGGAGGGTTAATGTTTCTGCCAAAGGAACCACGGCTTGAAGCATGTGGTTCATGTGGGAGGGTTGTGAGGAGCAAGAAAAAGGTGAAAGCAGCAAAAGTCATTGAACCTTGAAGAGCCATGTTTGTGAGATGGTCTATCTATTAAAGGCGTTGATACGTGTGTGTTTATATAGGGTGTGGGACAAGAAAGAAGAGGAAAGTAATTGTATGAAACTGAAGAAAAAGGGAACACCAAAGGATGGGAAAACGGTTTTTGTTTGATTCTTCACTTTATCTGCTTGAAGACAGGTTCAAATAATAATAAATTAAGGTCCAGATTACAAGAGTTTGTGAGGGGAAAATTGATAGAAAATTAAACTGAAACACATTCAATTAAAAGTGTATGTAAAATCATATAGACTCTTTTGAAAAAGATTAACTAAAAGCTACTCAAATCAGAAGAGCTATTTAACTGTGGGGGTCCACTAATCTTTGTTAGGGGTAAGAAAAATGGGTTTCAATCAATTCAACAAACTTGCACTGATTTCTGATACAAATCACTGTTCTGCTCGTAAGTCTGTGTTGAAAAGATCACTTTGGCAGTGTGAAATTTGAAGGGATGCAGAAGCTTGTAGGGATAGAAATATGCCAAAAAAGGAGTGTGGGGCCCACCTAGTGTTTGGGATGTTTTTCACGTCATGGGTTGGGTGTGTGCTTTTATCTGTTTTCTAATGCCATCGATCAATAAGATTGAGAAAAAAAGATGAGAGTGGTGAGTACTGAGAAGGACGTGATCCTTTCACTCGTATGAGGCTTTCTGGATTTAGGTGTGAACAGGAGAAACATTGTTTTTGTGCTTTCCGAAAGGAAAAAGTGTTTCCATTAAAATTTCATTCATGGCAATAGCTATTGTGGTCAAATGTTCCAGTTGATGTAGGCAGTCATTAAGGGGTAAAAGGACATTTAATTAAAGCCTTCAATTAATAACGATTTCTTTTTCTTTTTCTGAAGCAATCAATGTATTGATTACTTTTTCACTGAATTTGCTTTGGAAAGACTGACGTTGTCTGATGAGAAGGCATGAAAAGTGGAAGGTGAAAAGTAAAAAGTAAAACCTTTGGTTTTCATTCCTTAAAACCGAAAGAAACAAAGAGAACTTGACAGCAAGTTCAGCATCGACAACATAAAACAAGAAATTTTGCTCAATTTTGATTGACCTCCAAACACTTGGCAGATCAAATTCTCATTAGCTTCTACGCTATCTTTGATTTCGATATGGATTTAGCCAGCAAAATACAGCTATATAAACTCTTTAATTTTATCACAATAAATATTTATTCCGACATCAATTTTTATTTGAAAGAATTATTCCATTTGAGATATTATGATAACTCTTTCGGTCGCGTTGAGATCCATACTTTAAAATATTCAAAATTATTACTTCCATGGTTAAGTTACGTTATTTTTTCTTTTTTTTACTTTTCTTTGTCCTAATAGTGGAAAGACTGTCCGCAGAAGACACTCTAACGTTCAACTTAATAAAGATTAGTAATTAGAGTCTCGTACCTATCTTTTTATTATTAGGTCTAACTCATTACTCACCAATAAATGATTATTATTTTTGTTAATTGTCAATCAATTATTATTATTTTTTTAACTATCCATTAATAACTATTATTGTTTAGAATAATTTTCAAACCGGTCATTTTTTCGTTGGATGGTGAACCGTTCGGTCCTTTGACTGACAAGGTGATCCTACATTACAATAATTTTTTTTAATATACTTTATTAATATAATATCTGAATCAATCACCACGGCATTTAAAAAATTGTTTGTCATTTAAACTAATGTCACTGTTAAATGTGTGCAAAATTACAACAGATAAATATAACTAAATATTAAAGTTGAGATTCTGTGTACACTTTAAAAAGGAATTCTAAAGTAAAACGTACTTTGGAGGATAAACCAATAAACTAGCAATAAGTAAAAAGGTACTTAAGTAAGTGTTTTTATTCAATTTTGATAAATGTGGAGAGTGGAAAAAGAAACACTTGACAATGACGGAATAAGAGCCTACTGCAGAAGCTAGTAGTGTTGAACCTGATTCTGCTGTAGAGGGTATGGAGAATATTGCAGTTAAGAGTTCTCAACTTTCGAGTAATGCATATTTTATTTGACAGTGACATCACTCAGGATTTTATTGATTTAGATGTGGCAAAAAAAATATTGGATAGCAAATTTGAGAAAATTTCCCCATTCACAACCGAGGGGAGATCGATTGGATATTCCTTTCCATGTGCAAAGGGTTTACTTGGCAGTTGCAGACATTTCACTTCTCAGTGTGACCTCGTCTCTATTGCATCATAGTAGTATGATGTGGTGGTGTTATTACACAGGTGTAAAATTGTGCATATAAAATTTTAGAAATAAAATAAGATAATTTAGAGATTGAATTAATATCTCTTTTTTTTCTTATATGTTATAATATATTCATTAATAAACATTCAAATTGCATTAAAAACTTATGATAGCACATAATTGTATATTTTTCTTAAATTTGTAAAGTCAACGTTAATGTGTTGTTCTTAAACTTTTAAAAGTTTTTTTTAATTCTTTTAATTTTTTTTTATACTAATTAGTTCTTCAAGTTTGAAGGATCCTCATAAAAGATACAACTCTTTACTATAAGTGAGCTAGTTGATGGAGTAACATGAAATTTTTACTAAAATAAGAAAATGGGTGTTCCTCTTGCAACAACACAACACCTGTTCCAACACATGATGCATCGCATTCTAACTCCAAAGTTTTTGAAAAGTTTAATAGAAGAATTACTCTGAGTTGCTTGAAAGTCAACTCTTATCTTTCACCCCAACAAAATGAAACATCCTTTTTCACCAACTCACTGAAGGGTGAAACATTTACTAAAGAAGTTAGGTGCAAATCTTTTATAAAAAAACTTGCAAGTCCATGAAAACTCTTAACTTTTCCATATTTTATGCAGTTGGTGATGGAGAACTATCCCTGATTCCTTATAAAAAGAACATCAGGAGGAACTAATGGAATTGAAAGGACCTATGACAAGATCAAGAACTAAGAACTTGAAAGAACAAATATATTTGAAATTATTGATACTACATGAAGATGAAAATTTAAAGGACCTAAAGATCATGGCTTGGAATACAATCGAATATTAGTTTAGGCAATCAAAAGTTTTGCAATTTCTTTTAATTTAATTTATATAGAACTCGTTGGGTGAGCATCTTTCACTAGGCTAACATCTTTTGTTGGGTGAGCATTTCGAGTCTAACATTACAAATTGCAAAATTCGATGGGCAAGTACCACCATTGGACAAGCCTTCACTAAGCGAATTTTCGTTTCTTGTAATTTCTTTTTTTAGTTTTAATTTTGTGTTTTAGGCTTTCTTTTTTGTTTCTAGGGTTTATTAAACATTATGATCTATATATTTTGAAAAATAAAACCTACGTACACATTTTTAGTCATATATTGAATTTGGCTTTTATTAAAAGAGGATTCTCTTGGATCTTGTTTTAGAACATTGATTCTTATCAAAGATTAATATCTTTATGGTGAATTTTCCTTAACTTATCAATTTGCTAGATTGTAGCATAATTTTATTCTTGTTTAATTTCGCATTCTTTATCTTATTTTATTGTTTGTATTTCAGAAGGAATTCAAAGTAAAAAACAATTGGCATCTTTCCTGGATCGGGTCGTATCATTTTAGTTTCTAGAGCAACGTTTTGGTTTTAATTTCTTATTTTATCTTATTTTCCTGTTATATGAAGGAAACCCTAAAATATTTTAATGTTTGTATCCTTCATATTTTTCAATTTAAATAGAGTATTTTTGCATTTGATTCCTAGAAATTATACATGTTTGTGTTTTCTGTAATTAATTGAGCTGCATGAGTTTTGTGTTTTGAAAGGACATTATGTGTAAAATTTTGGGTTTTTTTTAATGACATTATTGCCTAGCGAGAGAAGTTAGAAGAGTCCAATACAATTAATTTGCTACACTATCTTATGATTAATTTATTTGTTGATTTTTGCATTCAGTATTTATCATCAAGTTTCTCCTTTGTCAAAATTAATTCCTTTTGGTAGTCTTATTTATTTCAAGCTTTATTTGATTTTAGTTTTTTTTTTTCTTTTTTAAATTCTTGAAGTTTTGTGTAAGGCCCAAGAAAATATAGAGTTTATAAATAAGACTTAAGTATATTTTATTAGTATCTTAAGGTGTTGTATAGCTTAATTACTGAGAGCTCTTTGATAAGCTAAGTGGTCATGTGTTCAAGCCTAGATTAGAACGTAAAGTTTTATGTTATTTATTTATTTTTGATTATATAAGTGTAACACATGTTATTGTATGATTGTTAAATTTGTGAGGTTATAATAGTCTCTATACCATGGAAATTATAGTTTTCTTTTTAATCACTTTTAATTAGCACTTTCTAATTATTTTTAAATCCTAATTTTAATTATTAATTTCTAAATCCTAATTGGATATATTGGGATTGAACCCTAAATTAATTTTCCCGAATGGATGTTTCACACTTAAAAGAAACCTAATTAGGAGCTTTCTTTCCAATCTTGGAGTTATTCTTCTTCGCGGACCAACGCAACCTTTGGGTGTCATTTTTTAGCTCGTGCAAGATCTTTGGGTGGTATAGAGCTCCACTCGAAACTCTTCTTCGTTAAGGTGGAAATCTTCCATTTGTCAGCCCATTGCAGGTTCTCTCACTTCCATGGGCAACATGGCATCAATGTCGTATGTCAGGTTGAAAGGGGTTTCCCTAGTGTTGTGCGATATGCTCCGATATGCCCACAGTACCTTAGAGAGTTTGTCCACCCAAACTCCTTTAGCTTCTAGTCGTCTCTTGAGCTCGACGATAATGGTCTTATTGACGACCTTTATCTGACCATACGTCTACAGGTGTTATATTGAGCTTGTGACGTGCTTGATGCCTTATCGGTTATGACTGTTCAGGGTAACCCGAAGTGGCATTTGAGTTTCCACATGAATTTTTGCACCTGTTGGGCATTGATGATGGTCAATGCCTCTACTTCGACCCATTTCGTGAAATAATCGATGACCACCAAGAGGAACTTCTTTTAAGCCTTGTCGATCAGGAAGGGGCCTACTAAATCCATTCCCCATTTGGCGAACGACTAGAAAGTCACAATACTGTAAAGTTGAGTCAGGGAAGCGTTTAAGTTGTTTGT